CACTGCTGCGTAGTCCCTGCGAACTACGTCAGCGCTTGAATCAGAAAAAAGATAAGTTTGAGCGAGAACAGCTAAATATTATTCAGAAAAATACCTGAGTTTTCCCCGCGCCCGATTCGCCTATGACCTCTGATACTTCACAGAACTGTAGGTCATTTCGCAGTACATTATCGATTTCGGGCAATCCTGTCCGAAGAGCCAACGGAAGCCCAAGTGCCACCAGTGCATCAATAGCTGTTTCGTTCATATTTCCATCAGAATCCGTCAGAATGGAACTTGAGGATACTGGAAAAAACAGTTAAGTTGGATTTCGCTACTGCAGCAGAGCGAGGTACGAGGCGTGCTGAGGAAGTTCGCTTCTGTGCGCCGCGAGATCCGAGGCTGCGCGTTTCCGATCATTTGAGTTCTTCTAGTAGGGGCTGGAGAGGAATGGTTCCCCTAGTCGAGCTGCCCCATGACCCCCTCCCTCACTAAAATAGCGTCGCCAAGTCGTCTGGAAAGCAGGTGATAAAAACTATTCCAGTGGAATTCTGGAAAGAGGGATAGGCTCGTGGAGATAGCACTGACAATAATAAAAGCGACAAGAGAAGCCGGTCAATTACTCGACTGAATCCCCTCCACCAGAGCCCACATTTTCCTGAGCCATATAAGCCATATGAAGACCATATTTTTCTACGTTTAAATTTTTCCTTGCTAAACTAATCAATACTTGAGCTTCTCGTGGTTGGCACGACTCTCCCGGTGACACTTAAGCGCTAAGAAATTATTAATTTAGCTGGAAATTTCGTTCCGGAGGTAGTATAACTTTCTAGACAAGAATGACAATGTCCACTTAGCGCGAAAACGCCTGGAAAACGGACAACGCCACGCTATCGGTGCCTAGGGAATAATTTTTTTCACAAGTTCCGTGACTTTGTCGCTTCTATTAGAGTGTCCGGAGAGTTTTGAGAAATTTCAACCAGCTCATTTAACATTTATTAGCAACAAGAAGAGATAAGGAAGTACCTACATGCGGGGCGTACGCAGCATCTAAGCTGAACTTACATGTACGAAACGTGATCTCCTACTACAGTATAAAAATTCTTTGGATACGTGTTTGTAGACCATCGGTGACAGTGCCCCATTCCCGATTTGACCGCTAGAGTAACGGTGAAGATGAATTAGAAGGCGTTGGGAGTCGTGTGCAATAGTATTTTTTTCAGGTGATGTCAACTCACACCAACAATGGAGAATAATAACAGCCAGCATTAGGATTGATCTTACAAACATTTCTCTTTCTTAGCAGTTAGTTATTGTATGAATGTGAAGGAACAATGTGAAACTCCAATATTTATTTCAAAAAACTTCCAAAGTCTCGGAAGCTTTTTTAAAATATCTTATCTTGCCTTTTTTGTCCGAGACAACTGGGCCTGGACAAAGGGTATGTGACAAGAGGATCGTAATTCGCCAGACTTTGCTGGCGTCGCATGCCGACTTCTGGCGACAGGGACGATGGTTTCCAGGTAGCAGATGCGCTACAAAACTGGCAAGTAAGATCCGGAAACACTAATGACTCTTACAATGACGGCGGTTGCTTACATGAAGTCCGGTTGCCTTCCGCGACAGGCTTAAAACGAGTTATTTGAAAACGCCGCGCCCATCGCCGGCGTCGGCCGGTGGGCAAATTACGATTTCTCTTTACCGTCTCCCTGACGAAGTGTGCTCACGCACCGAATCGCAAGATAAGATATTCAAGAACTTAGATTTTTTAAAATAAATTTCTGGAGTTTCTAACCTGCGGATGAGAATATGGACATCCAGAACAGCACAATACTCCGAGGTTATTAATATAACTTTTATGTGTGGACATTTCGCTTTGTTCTCCAGGGACTAAGCGTTAAATTTCCTCAAACTTTCCTTACAACCTAATAACTCGCTTAAAAGACTCAGGTAGCAATTTTGGTCCCCATGTCTGTAACAAGCCTGCTAAAGTCCTACGATACATAGGGTGTCCCTTCGAAGTTTCATGGGAAGTTGAAACCACTGATGGCAAGGGGCAAAGGAGACTCTCTATCCAAACTTGTTCTTCGAAACTAGCCTCATTCAAAATCGAATTCGTAAACGACAACAGTCTAACGAAGGGTTCGACAAGTGTGGCCTTGAAAAGTGTCACGGATGAATTCAATCAGGCCTCTTCTCTGACACACTCACGGAAAACGAACTGTTCATCTGGACACAAGGGATAAGAACATAAGGATATATTGACTCCCGAGATAAACTATACCTATTCAATCGTCCACTTCAGCATGAAACCAACAAGCGATGAAAAAGAACATTGTATTGGCCTTCTACAATTTTAGAAAGAAATCGCTTCATTTAGCGAAGCAATGCTTAGCTTACTTCCAAATCAATTAATGATCTTTGTAAAGTAATATTTCAAACTATGCCTTCGAAATATAAGATCTAAATACAATACACAGACAGTTAGTTGAATGAAAAATATTTTTAGTGGAAATAACATTTTATAAAACAAGCATTCGCTCGACAGGAAATTACACTACACGTATGCATGAAACGACCGGAGTCGAAATATTGTTAATTCTAGCAGATAAAACCACAATCCTACGATTGCTGACTTGGTAGAATAGGAACGATCAGATGCTCCTGAGCCATCAAGTTGTATTTCGTCACGTAGGTGGTGAATCTGGAATGAAAAATATTTCAGAGAAAGCGGTATACTTACATCGTCGTAAAACTGTGAAAACTAGAGCAGATGCTAACCTATTTTCGTTAGCCTGTTAAGTTGTCGAGGAGGAGCCAGGAAGTGGTGTGTTAGCAGGTGGGCCAAAACCATGGTTGCGCAGTCTAGACGAAATAAGTGCTTTCCCATGTCAACCTATTCCTTTACATATCGGCAGTCGGTTACTAGATTTTCCCTTCTCCAGAGAAGATTAACACATATACTCCTCATCATTACGGACTGTCGGGGCGGGTCAGTGCGGCTGCGTTTTCCGCGGTTCCAAAGTCTTTCTGCACCAGTTGTTGAAGCGATCAAATGACATAACAGCATTATATCCTTCGTATTACTCGTTTTCTACCACTTTTTGTCGCATACGCGCTTCAAAGAAAAGGCTGAGAACGGCTTCAAACAGTGTGCGCACTCCTTCTGGCCGATACGCCCCGACAGTCCGTAATGATGAGGAGTGTACTTGCACACTGGTTGGACAAGCAGGTCATTTACAGGCCATAGAGCATTCAAAGGTCTCTGCGATCCTCATTGGAAGTAGGATGCAAGCCACATTCCAAAAAGGGGTTGATAAAATGGTAAGGCATCACATCTATATAAAAAGCCCTTTGAAAGCGAGGAAAGTAAGTTGATCAAAAAGATCTTTGAAAGCTAGCACAGACACCGTAAACCTGTGTCAAACCAACTGTGAAAAAAGATTGCGCCGTTTAAGCCTGTGGTCCCCACCCCCACAAAAAAAAACCTCTCACGCGCTCCTAAACGCTGTTTGAAAATTCGAAACGACGAAAGCTCGCAAGCTTCTCAGTATTCCCATACACACCACTGAATTTCCGGGAACAAACTTTTCAGGGAGCTCTTTTCGAGTCATCTGTCCAGTTTAACCAAATACCAAAACCGTTCGGGATCTCAAATGGAAGTGACCACGTGACGAATAAACTGTATTGCATCGTGGTAAGAGTTGGGAGGCTGCTGGGTTTGAGCGAAGGGGAATTTCGCCACCGCTTGGCTGTGATACAAATGTGATTAACTTAGCGAAAGCATAAATGAGGAGAAACCTTATGAACTTCTGCTAAAAGGAAAGGTTATGAAAATGATACTCTGCCAAACTGACCGTTTGCAAAGATGAGTGCTGTTTTCGAATTCATCAAATAATTGTCTATGATGGAAATAAGCATGTGAAAATATCCTGTACACTCGTCGACACACAGAACCCAATTTCGATAGTGACGATTCCTAAACAGCATTTATTAGCACCACATGCGAAACAAAAACTCAAACCTCTTGCTGCTTTTCTCAGCGCTACGACCAAGCGTGTGGACTGCAGACAATGGGGCAGCGAGTTTTCAAGAGCTAAACAAAAAAGTCAAGCTAGAATTTCGCTACATTCGCTGTGAGATGTAGATTGTGAAGAAATGAAGAGAAATCAGCTTGGAAAACCGTCTCCTCAAGAGCTCACTAACTGAAGACTGAATGACGCAAATGACACCAATTAAGGGAAAGGTTGCAAAGAGAGAAGGCAGCGAGAAACCCAACCTAATAGCTAAGTTCCACGAGAATATGATCGCCGAGAACATGGCCACAATATCAAGAATAACTACACGAAGCGGAGAGAGGTTAGCGATAGTTATACTAAAAATAGCGGCAATAATCTTGGGAAGGTGCTTGAAGGATTTTTGTGCTAAACTTGGATTCCCGTGAACTGCGGTACCTAAACTGGTTCACTAACCGTTGAGCTTCTTCTCCCCTTGAATCTAGTTAGGAGTTAGGAGTAAGAAGGAGACATGAGAAGGGTGAAAAAATTACAACACAAGACCAAAGACCAATGTTTGTTTCGTGCTTGATCTAGGCAAAAATTCTTATCTAGATTTGAACAAGAAACCCTTATATGTCCCTTCCAAGATTATTAGCGCTCTAGGAAGAAGTAGAACGGCAATCATAAACATATTTGCAGCGCACTACGTGATGAAATTCGTAGTTCTATGTGAAATCCCAGCTAGAACGTATACGAAACTAGTTGCACACTGAGTATTTCATTAACTAAAGCATACCTTAATATTTATTCGACTCGGGAAATACTTGTTACTGTTAAGGAGTGATGCTGCACCATCAAGTGTATGTCTTGTGTAGTCGATAGCCGAACACTACAACAATGAGAATAATGATGAGATACAAAAAACTTAATTTTGTTAGTCTGCGTCCACACTCTGCAGCCCGGCTTTTTGGGAGAATCACCCTCTTGAGCGAGAAGTAGCATAGGTATCCATCGGCGCCCGTCGTTAGCGCTTTCAGAAAATAGTCTTTTCAGAAGAATCAGCTTTTTGAACATTTTAAGAGAATCGACATTTTGAGCGCCGATCGATACTTATGTTTTCCTTTCTGCTCCGAACGTCGATTCTTTCAAAACGCTCAAAACGCTGGTTCTTACAAAACGCTAGATCGATACACATTCCTTTTCGCTCAGAAGAGCTGATTTTTCCAGAAAACCGCATCTAAAAATATGAAAGCAGAGTAATAGACTACAATATAACGCTATATTAAATTTGAAATAAACGATAGCAAGAACAAACCTCTTTTGGATTCTTATGGGCAGCACAAAGGAATATCCACTGTTCCGTAGCTGTCATTTGAATGCACGTTTCAGGGTTGCATTCCTCCTCAAAAACATGATAGTAAACCCCGCGTCAAAAGCAGCATGGAATGACATGGAATGATGAGTTCAGGGCGTTTGGGTACAACATAATCAGCCCAGGATAAGGGGCGATGGTGCTGTAGTGACGAGTGGCGCGATTACCAATCGCGCGGTCGAGGGCTCAATTCGCGGGTCGACTCCACACAGGCCAACTCTCCGGGGATGGTAACAGGTTTGCCTGGAAGGATAAGAACTCTGACCACATCGGCTGGCCCCCGCAAGTCATTGTATAGGCCACATCGCATTCAATAAGCCACTACGATTCTGAATGGAAGTAGAATGCGTGCCGCATCCCACAAAGGGATTGATCAACGGCGAAGACTTTATCCTTTAATCAGGTAAGTGTTTATCGATGCGATGCACTATTCAGTGATTAATTCTTGTGTGCCTCACGAGGTTGTTAAGTGAAACCTTTACTAGTACATAAGGCCTAACGCGTTGACTGGCTCGTCGCCTTCAGAGGCCAGGTTCCACCATTTGCGCGGAGAAATTCCGCAGCCACACGAGCGTTAGTCGGATATAAAGCGACTTCATAATTCACTCTAAATATCAACTC